AATACCGATACTGAATATCTCGTCTACGGTATACTCCGTATTTTGATGGAACATCCGCAAATTTTTGCATACATACCACAAAAAGCATTTGATATTACTATGAAAAGTATTAAATCAAAATTAGGTCATGCAGATGTTGAAACTATTACAAATCTTATCGTTTTATCGTTAGAAAGAGCCGAGAAACCGTTACAAATTACACCGGTTGTCACACAAGAAATTACCGATGCTTTAGATGATTTTTTCTTAGAAGAGCCTGAATTGTCAGTAAGTACACAATAATAACAGAATAAGTATCGAGTATTCAAATAAATTAATGTCATATTGTTTTCTGTCATTAGTTTTTGTCAACAATGATTCTGAATTGTTTTTTGTATTTGAAGTTAGTTCTGTGCAAAGTAAATATTTTTTAATTATCTATACAAGCATGCGTATCTGACATATTTTATCTTGTTAATTTAACTTTTTGAAAAAAAGAACAATTCATCTTTCAACTTTTTTAAGGTAATATATGGCGAGGTAGCAAAAGACAGGCATACATTTTCAAAGAAATTTAAACAAAATCCTAGTTTGATGATATTGAAACTTGTTAAATGTTAACGCGCAGTTTTAATTAAAATACAATAATAGTAACAAATAAAGATATGAACTCATTTCAGTATGAGCGAATTTTCATGAAAGTGAACACACAGTTTCTGAGCTAGATTTATTTACATGATAAAATATTTGTATTATGCATTTTTTTGCCCAATCGAGTTGGACGAAAACTATGCGTAATGAAACCATTATGAAAACGTTTTTCTATTGCTACAAAAGGTCTATTTCTCACATTAAAAAAAGAAAACAATTGGTAAGAGTAATTTATATTTGAACAATAGATGTCAGACACTAAACGTGTTTTCTCTCATACAAAGTGAGTAATTAATTGTACATCATCTGGACCTAATTTTGATTTAATACTTTTCATAGTAATATCAAATGCTTTTTGTGGTATGTATGCAAAAATTTGCGGATGTTCCATCAAAATACGGAGTATACCGTAGACGAGATATTCAGTATCGGTATT